AACTCTAAAAAGTCTTACCTGTGTGAAACTTCTCAGATGACTCTTGACTAGTCTCCCTTATGTTTCTAACCCCACAAACTCGGCTCTAATGAAGGGGATTCTGTGAGATTCCACAAAGCCAAAATATTTTCTCAGAGAAGCATACGACTCAATAGTTGGCAAATAAAAAGTTCAATGCAATGAAAAACAGCCTAAAACATTAAATTCCAGCACCAATGAAAAAATCCTGGTCCCGAGTCTATTGCAAAGCCAATGACACAATCACCTCCTCCACTTCAAGCCGGGCCTACAAAAGCCCAAGCACAAGAAATCTCAGGAAGGGACAAGCAGGGCCCACCAGAAAAATCAGCAGAAGGCAGAACCGGACCAACCAGCCACAGCAGTTTTTGAAATTTACAGATGAATGGGCAAGTAAAAAGATTCAGATCACGTGTTTGCAAGAGCATATACGGACAGTCGCTAACATTCACTGATTCAAAAAAGAGGAATTTCAGCCTGTCATGTCAATACTGACATATCAGGTTTTAGAACATGTGTGCTTCAAGATAATACATAGGGCTATATCCCAAAGAGATCATACAAAGGAGAAAAGGACCCACATGTGCAAAAATATGTATAGCAGCTCTTTTTGTGGTGGCAAAAAACTGGAAATTGAAGGGATGTCCATCAGTTGGGGAATGGCTGAGCAAGTTGTGGTGTATGAATGTAATGGAATACTACTGTGCTATAAGAAATGATGAGCAGGCAGACTTCAGAAAAACCTGGAAAGACTTGTATGGACTGATGCAGAGTGAAGCAAGCAGAACCAAGAGAACAATGTATACAGTAAGAGCCACGTTATTCAATGACTGACTTTGACAAACTTGGCTCTTCTCAGCAAGGCCAGGATCTAAGACAATTACAAACGACTCATGATGGAAAATGCCGTCCGCATCCACAGAAAGAACTACGGAGTCTGAGTGCAGACGGAAGCAGACTATTTGCTCTTTTGTTTTTTTCTTTCTCGTGGTTTTTCCCTTCTGCTCTGATTCTTCTTTCACAACATGACTAACGTGGAAATATGTTTAACATGATTGTACGTGTATGGCTTAAATCAGAGGGGGGAGGGAGGGAGAAAAAATCTGGAACTCAAAATCTTACATAAGAGGATACTGAAAACTATCTTTACATGTAATTGAAAAAAATAAAATACTATTAAGTAGGGGGAAAAAATAACCAAAAAAAGGGGCAGCTATTTGGCACAGTGGATAGAGTTCCAGCCTTGGAGTCAGGAGGACCTGAGTTCAAATCTGACCTCAGACACTGGACGCTTACTAGCTCTGTGACCCTGGGCAAGGCACTTAACCCCAACTGCCTCATCAAAAAGCAAATACCTAGAAAGACTGCCACTAAAAGGCTGATAATTTCTGATAAATGAGTATTCTGTTACTGCCAGTTAACTAGCATTTCTCCATCCCTATCATGTGCTGTCTGCACTAAGCCGTGCATTGAGGATCCACAGGAAGGCTGAAGAAAGGACAGAGCAGCAATCCCTAACAAAGCGAAGATGGGCTTTGCTGAGGCTAGGAGGAGGCTGGGGACACTCCATCAAAGACCCCTCTCCAAATCACATCCTATTTATCCTGGTCATCGCTTGCTTTGTACATATTTGTCTGCATGCCGTCTTCCCCATCAGACTGCAAGCTCCTCAAGGGCAGGACTGCCTTCTGCCTGGCACACAGTAGGCACTCAAAAATGGGCCACCTTGTTAGAGGAAAGGCAAGAAGACCAGCGTCTCAGGATGGGAGAGTGTTGGGGGGGCAGGGGGAAGGAAGAAGGTGAAAGAAGGCTAGGAGGAAGGGCCTTGAACAGCAGAGGATTTTGTGTTTGAGCCTGGAGGTGACAGCAAGCCCATGACCTAGGTTTGGATATTTATTTTAAAAAACTAAACAGATATTTTCCAAGCCAAACATCCACCAACTTCAAAGTCCCTTTAGCATGCTCCAGGAAGCGGATCTCACACGTCAGTTAACAAATATTGTGAAAACTCCAGCTCCCTGCCATCTGCCTTCACCCAAAAGTCCCTGAGGATTTTACATAACTTGTGTGACAGAGGACAGGAAGGGATGGGGAAATGAAATGCACAATCCTCCCTTTAGACAGGACACCAGATTGGTTCTTCCCTATTCAGGAAAATCAAGCGAAAGCCAAAGACATTCGCCTGAAGTTTCTTCTGTCTTTCTCTCATCCGTCAGACATCTGCAAGGCTTCGAGCCTATCGGGGAAGGGGCCACCATGGGGAGGGGGCACTTCCCAAGTCTGTGACCACTGTCCCTAAACCTCAGGGACCTGTGGTTTGGGGAATGAGGCAGGGGAGGGAAGGGAAGGTCAGGGAGATGTTAGGACACGTTACCCAGAGAAGACAAGACCGTTTTCCAGCATCCCAAGGGCCGGTCAGTGAATCAAGCCCCTCGGGTCCAAAGCCAGACTAACTGTGCCCTCCAGTCTCTCGCTGGGCACATGGGCCAAGCAGAAGAGAGTGGCCACTTTCCAACCACGTTCTGTGGGCCTGTCAGTCTGGTGTCCAGTTCAAGGGGCCACACTGATCTACAAGCTCCCCTGGGCAGCCTGGAAGGGGTCAGAGGCCCGCTGAGCTTTGGCAGAAAAAGCACCAGCGCGGGGCCGTTTTGCTCACTCCCTATCCTTCAGCTCTTCAAGGCAGAGGACGCTCTCCAGGATCCGTCACCGTTAGTGATGCTAACAGCCAGCAGACTCCAGCAGCACTTATTAAGCAATTATCTCGTGCTGGCCTCCAGAAGGGAGAAACCACGGCCACACATGATTAAAGAAAACATTCCAAGCAAACAGAAGACGTTCTTGGTGGGGGAGAGGGACTGAGATCGGGAAAGGCCCGACGCAGGAGGCAGTACCTGGGCTGGGGGGGAGGGGGCATCACATAAGGACCACGGCCAGTCAGTCCGGCCCGTGAACGGGCACAGTGTGAACAAGCTGGGAAAGGAAGCCCAGGGCCAGACGAGAAAGGGTTTGAAAGGCCCAAGGGTTCGGGGTACTTCATCCTAGAAACAATAAGAAGCCCCTGAAGGTGCCTGAGCAGGGAGCTCAATGACAGTCTTTAGGTGGGTTTTAGGAACATCAACTGGACAGCAATCTGGAGGATGGCGGAGAGGAGATCCTGAGACACTAAGCCCAAGTCGGAGGCCACTGCACCAGCCCAGGTGAGAAAGCCTGAGAAAGCCTGCCCGGCCTGGACAATCAAAGAATTCGGACATTCTTTCGATCGACTCCCCTGCTGCCCTCCTCGGGGATGTGCAATCCCCCACCCCTCACGGCTTCCTCGGGCCATTACGCTAGTCAATAAGATTCAAAGGACCATCAATCTCATGCCAGCAAGAAAGAGAACAAGCCTTTCTGTTGCACCTACTGTGTGCTGGGCACTGGGCTAAGCAAGAGCTTTACAAATGATCCTCACCACAACCCTTCAAGACACATGCTATTATCATCTCCATTTTACAGTTGAGAAAACGGAGGTAGACAGCAACAAGTGACCTGCCCAGTCACCCAGCTGGCAAGCATCTGAGGCCCAACTGGAACCAAGGTCTTCCTGACTCTGTGCACCGGGCTGCCTCTAGAGGATCTCAGGGGCACGCCAGCTTCCGCTGGGCCCTCCCTGCAGCAAAGCAATCCCTTATCTATCTCCTCAAACAACAGATTTCCAACCTTGTTCCTTCAGTCAGCCCTCCCTCCACCACCCCACTCACTGGCTATTGACTAAGCTGAGCTCCCTCACGATAACTGCCCTCTTCCTTCCCTTCCCCTCCAAACACCTTGACATCATCTCCCCTTCTCTCCTCCCACCCCCCCCCAGTCTCCGCTCCGGGGGACACACATTCAGACACCCAGACCTCAGGGAGACCAGCAGTGAATCAACACCTCCCGCCCACCCTTTGCCCATTTCTGCTCCAGGCTCCCCGAGCCTCTCCGGCGCCCACTTCTAGCCCTCCGCGTCTCTGTACGCCCCCCCCACCCAGCGCCCCCGTCGGGAGGCCCAGCCTTCTCTGGGTCCTCTTGCCGAGATCCTGCTCGGTGTTCCCACATCAGGACACAAGTGGAGGGACCAGCGATGAGGAATATAGGGAGACTGACATGGTCAAAGAGGACCCCCAGGAGGTGAGCCTGGCAGGGCTGCCTTTGTCATAAAGCGCCAAGTGAGGAAAAGGAGGGGAGCCCCAAGACCAGGCTGCTGGGAAGGTTTGGGGGGGGGGGAGAGGGGGAAGAAAGAGGAGGGAGGGAGAGGGAGAGAGGGAGAGGAGACAGAGACACAGAGAGTCAGGAGAGAGAGAGAGAGAGAGGAGAGACACAGACAGAGACGGACAGGAGAAAGAAAGAGAGAGAGAAGAGAGACAGAGAAAGACAGAGAAAGAGAGACAGAGACACAGAGAGACAGGAGAGAAAGAGAGAGGAGAGACAGAGACACAGAGAGACAGGAGAGAGACAGAGAGAGAGAGAAAGAGAGAAAGAGAGAGACAGAGACACAGAGAGACAGGAGAGAGACAGAGAGAGGAGAGACAGAGACAGAGACAGGAGAAAGAGAGACAGAGACAGAGAGACAGAGAGAAAGAGAGGAGAGAGAGAGAAAGAGAGGAGAGACAGAGACACAGAGAGACAGGAGAAAGAGAGAAAAAGAGAGAGAGAGAGGAGAGACAAAGACGCAGAGAGACAGGAGAGAGGCAGAGAGAGGAGAGACAGAGAGAGACAGAGAGAGACAGAGAGAGAGAGGAGAGACAGAGGCGCAGAGACGCAGAGAGGCAGCGCCACAGAGCTCGGGCAGGCGAGCAGCCCCGCACAGACCGCGGAAGGCCGTCGGGCGTCCTCGGGGGTCCCGGGAGACGCGCCCGGCTCCGGTGCTGAGCGGCAGCGGCGGCAAACCGCGGCAAACCGCCTACTGGGTGCGCGAGGCAGGGCCCCGCCCCCGCCCCGCCCCTCCCCCACTCCCCACTCACCGAGGAGCGCGTGGAAGAGGCTGCTCTGGAAGATGCCGATGACGCGCTCGAGGGAGCCCCGCAGCGGGCGGTCGTGTGCGGGGCTGAGCTGCGCGCGGTACTCCTGCAGCAGCCGCAGCGCGCGCTCCGTGTCTGCGGGGACAGAGCGGGGGCGGGTGAGCGCGCGCCCCCGCCCCTCCCCCCCCCCCCCCCCCCCCCCCCCCCCCTCCGGCCCGCTCACCTCGCTTCCGCACGGGCATGGCTGGCGCGCGTCGGCCCCGCCTCACGCCCGGAGCGCCATCGCCCGCCCGCTCCCCGCCGGGGCTCCGGGGCCGGCCCGGTCCGCTCGCCGCCGCCGCCGCTCCCTCCTCCGCCCGCTCGCCCGCGCTCGCTCTCTCTCTCTCTCCCCCTCGCTCTCTCCGTCTCTCTCTCTCTCTCTCGCTGTCTCGCCGCTGCTGCCTCCTCTTCCTCCTCTTCCTCTTCCTCCCCTCCTCCTCGGGCTCTCCCCTCAAACTTTCCTCCAAGATGGCGGCCCCCGAGCCGGACGGCAGCGCCCCCACGTGACCTCCTTCCCCCGCGCCGCCAGCCAATAGCAAGTGAGCAGACGGCGGCGCGAGCCCCAGCGGCCTGAACGTTGGCAACCCGGGGAGGGAGGGCGGCGGGCGGGGGGCGGGGGGCGGGGGGGGGGGGGGGGGGGGGGGCGGGCCCGGGGGGGGGGGGGGGGGGGAGGGGCGGGGCGGGCCCGCCGCCGAGCGGGGCAGGCGCGCCTTAAAGGGCCCGCGAGCCACAGGTGGCTGCCCCGGCGCCGGGACGGAGCCGCAGGTGGGCTGGCCACGCCCCGGGGCGGGGCCCGGGGGAGGAGCTGCTGCTGCTTCCGTGCTTCCGCTCCTGGAGATGGCGAGCAGGGGGAGGAGCACGAAAGAAGCGCCCGCGTCCGGCGCTCGGAGCCGGGGGGCCCCTTGGGGCCCCAAGGCTGGAGACCATGGAGCAGAAAAGGAAACTGAGGCCCGTGGCTCGGCCGAGGTCACGCAGGGAGGCAGTCAGTGGTGGAGCCGTGAGCTCCTCAGAGCCAAGGTTTTAAGAATGACATCCAGGCTGGGGGCTGCCGGAAGGAAAGAGTTTGTTTTGTACCCTTACCCTGAGAACCCCTGCTGTGAATGACTTTATTGGAGGCGCGGCCCCCCAGGCCCGGGGTCACCAGCTGGGCATCCCC